TTTTAAAAATAATGTATAATAATAATATATAAATTTAACTAATAATACAAACTAAGTGCAATAAAGAAATAAAATTAGAGTTACCTAAATTTTATGAAGCATCTTAACTATTGTAATTAAATAAAAACTAATATTTTTTTAATAATGAATAGATCTTTATTCTAAACATTACCTCACAATCTTAAATTTTCTAGTTTAGTTTATTTCAATTACTTCAAATATATAATCTTATCATTTCTATCTTTTCTTTAAGTGAAAAGAACTAAATAAACTAATTAATGTTTTTATACATCATTTTTCAGGTAAAGCTTGTAAGAATTTAGAAAAAATGTCTTTTAAAAAGCCAACTTGAGGTATTTGGTCAATTGGTTTTATCATTTTGTCTAGTAGTATAATTGTTTTAACATTTCTACATATTGGTTTTGTAATCATTATGATATTTGTAATCAGAAATTACTTTTTTTAACTTTAGAATATAGATAGGAAAAGAGAGTTCTTGTCCTCTAACAGTGAGTCTCAGGATGATCCATCTACAGGACGCAGTAAACGACCACGTCTCGATCTAAATAATACTTTGTAAAACGTATGTAATATTATACGTATCTTTCATACAAATGTGCGTGTGTATATATACGCATCACACTTCTACATACACACACATACACACATATACGCTTGAAGTATTTATATATGATAAATTTAGACAAAACTTACATATTTGTAATACAAGACTATGTATATAGCTAAAGTTATGAAAATACTTTATATTTTGAGATATATTTTTAAGAGACATATGTTTTTTTAATTTTGAATTTCTTCAAACACATGAAAATAATATATTCAATTTTACTTATGTGATATTCTTCGCATAATGTCATTGCATTGTAATTGTGTTGTATAAAATATTTTAATTATTATTTTAATTAAAATACAACGCTACTTTTAATTATTTAAAATAATATAAAATAACTGCAGTGGCATTTGTGTATTAATTTTTCTGGAAAAAAAATTATGTATCATGCAAACAAAAACATTTACTAGAAAGTTAAATACTGTAATAAAATATATTTACTTTAAAATTGTGCCATAAAGTATCTTATTAGAAAGATTAAATTTGGAGAGAAACCTAAATATCTTTTATAAAAAACTTTATTATATATTTCTCATATTAGAAAAAATGACATATATATGTTAATGATTAGATTTTTTTGATTACAATTTATATGTGTGTTTTGTATACGTCCGTGTAAATGCATGCGTGCGTACATTTGTTGAAAACAGTTCTTGAATCAATAACTTTTAACAGACATGCGTTATAAATCTTTGCATGCAAAAAAATGTCAATCAATAAAATAGCTACAACGATTGATAACAGTATTGACAATGAAACTGTTATTATAAGTTACTGAATAAAGGGACTGAGTTTCAATATTATGAAAACCATATTAAGTTAAATGTACAGTTGCAAATTGTGATTCTATAAAATATTTATACACTAAAACATATTTCTTATACACACGGTAATCAATGAAAATTGCCACGTTTTTCATATGTAAGTTTGTTTTTTGTAATATATATGTATTTTATATTTGATTTTTATATGCAATTATATGTATACTTATATAATATCCAAATCACCTGTAAATTTAGAGTTATTTTATAAATATAGTTTTTGGTAAAGATATAAATATAGTGTAAAATAAAGGAGACGGAACTTTGAGTATATTGCGGTAATGCAATTGATAGAAGTAGATATTTGTCTTGTATTGATATTATATCACCACTCCTACCCAGAACAGAAACTCCATGAGAGGTCTATTAGACGTGAACAGTTTCATGCAATATCTAGAATAGATGTCTAATGGAATTTTTGTGTATCATCAAAAAATAGTGATCAAATATGTATGGTTGAGTAAAAAAACTTGAAATGTCTGTTTCTTGCAGAGAGAAGAATGAGAGCGGCCAGGCCCATAAGATTTTTTACTATCGCTTTTCGTGGACATGGTTTTATTCCATGCTATGAGATCACCGACGTGATGGGAATACGCACACAAGCGAGAACCGCCGTCCGTGTGCGCTCGTGGAAGGCTAATATTACATTTTTTTGTACGACAACGATTTTAATAAGTATGTTGATTGGTTATCAGATAGAGTTTTATAAAAAGAACTCTATTTGATAGCCAATCAATATATTTAAAATCTTTGTCGTACGACAAATGTAATACTAGCCGAAGAGTGCAGCATAGACTGCGTTCCAATATTCACTGCCAGTATTAAAAATCTATACTTACGTCACATCCTGGTAAAAAATTTTCCATGTATACAATTGTATGGACATATTCGGCATATAAATTTGCATAATTACATATAATAATTTTAATTTGTGTAGAAGTATATATGATTATATATCAAAATTGTTTTAAGAATATAGTAAAAATATAGTTTTATATAAGGTTTTTGTATCTAACATGATACTAATAGAGTTATTTTGTAATTTGATATGGAATATCTCTGAAACCATTCTTTTAAAAAAAAAGAAATTCTCCGTGTATAAAATTATATAGACATTCGGCACACACACACATATAAATTTGCATAATTAGATATAATAATTTTAATTTGTGTATAAATATATATAAATACATATGAAAAATGTTTTACCGGGATATGCTATAAATGGGTGCGTTCAGACAACTCAACAGTTGCACAACGGTTGAGAGATAATCACTTCTGATTGGATAATACTTTTGGAACCGCAGATTTTGAAGAATAGTCCTATCATAAGTGATGATCTCTCAACCGTTGAGTTGTCTGGACGCACCCAATGTTCAGTACTGGCAATAAATATCGGAACACAGCCATATTAAGCCTGTTCTACATTGATCGCAAGCGCAAACACAAGGAATAGGTCTGGTAGAATTGGGTGTGTTTAGCCGAAGCTAGCGCTACGTAGCGCTACGTAGCGGCTTCATGTAGCAGTTGCAATTGCTGCGTTACTTCTGCTGGACAGTATGGCTACGCGTAGCATGTTCTAAGTAGTGGCCGCCATTTACAATAATACTTGCAACTGCTACATGAAGCCGCTACGTAGCGCTACGTAGCGCTAGCTTCGGCTAAACACACCCATTGTCTAATCGTATTGATTAAATCAGCCAATTGACCAGCGTAATTGGTCAATTCTACGAGATCTGTATCTTGCGATCAATGTAGAACGGGCTTTAGGAGTGGTTTATAATTGCCCTAACCGCTACCTTGGGTCACTGCCGTAAAAGTTGGAAGATATACAGCCAATTTTTTCACTTCTAGATAAGTTTTTGATAACTTTATCTAGAAGATATCTCCCAAAATTGGTTCTCCTTATTGGTTCTCAGAAGAATTTATCCAGAGGATAGCTATCGAGAGGTATGAAGAAATCGGCCGATATAAGGAAATACGTATGTATTATCGTTTATAATTGAATTGTGAACAGAAAGTACGTATTTCCTATCTGGCCTAAGTTAGCAGTTGGTGCAATTATAAACCAACTTCTTATAGGCTTGGCCGCTCTCATTTTTTTCTCTGGTTTCTTGAAAAAACCATCAGCAGCTTTTGTTTCATTTTCTTATAACTTAGGCGACGATGGCGTTGTTAATCTTTATTATACGCATAGACGTATAATATATAGCTGCGCGTTTGGCTGAAAAGATGTCTTCAACGTTGAGAGAAACAACATACTTTGAATAGTAACTCTCTCTCTGTCTATCAATGTCTGTAGTTGGATATAATGGAAGTAGTAGTGGGGCTAAAATTCAATATGGCCACGGGTTTGGCTGTTGCGATCTTGACAAACTTGATTATTGTGGTCAGAATCAGAATCTTTTACAAGAAAATTGACAAAATGGTGAATTGTTGTTGTGTATGCGGAGTGGAGTAATTGCTGAAAAACTCGCATATTACAGGTGCTTTCCAACTACGTACACAGGCGACACTGTGTTACACAGTGTCCACTAGTGTGAGTGAGACGCACTGATATGCTCTTTCTCACACTAATGGACAGTGTTACACAGGGTGCTTTCCAACTACGTACACAGGCGACACTGTGTAACACAGTGTCCATTAGTGTGAGAAAGAGCATATCAGTGGGTGCTTTCCAACTACGTACACAGGCGACACTGTGTTACATAGTGTCCATTAGTGTGAAAAAGAGCATATCAGTGTGTCTCACTCACACTAGTGGGCACAGTGTTACACAGTGTCGCCTGTGTACAGACGGCGTCAAAAATTCGCGGAGTTGGCGCGAGGATCGGAGGGCAAGCGGGGCGGGTGCTCGTAGCGCCAGCGAGCACCGTACGAACTAAATAGTAGCAATTGGTTGTTCGCAACTACGTCGTGTCGATAATGTAACTACTCTTCTTTTCAATTTTCTTCTCAAAACGTAAAACTATTGGCCATTTACTAAATATCTAACGTTAACAACTAACATGTATATGTATATATGTGTGTAATAAATAAAATTATAATGTCTCCGGTAATGAAAAAAACGTATATTGTAAAAGTCTCGTTTGAAAACTTATATACTATTATACATAGCCACTAAATAAATATAATTATATTAGATTATTATTATATTATATTACCCACATAGCATTGTAAGTAGCGCAAACGTTTCTGCAACGGGTTTTCCGAAATTTAGCAACGTTTCGTTAAGAGCCGTCTACAATGGAGAGTTGTAGGCCGTAATAGTAAGAAATTGACCAATCACAGACAAAGTACAGAAGAATAATCGATTGTGATTTGTCAATTTCTTACTGTTACGGCCTACAACTCTCCATTGTAGACGACCCTTTAAATATTAAGTAAATGGCCAATACTTTTACGTTTTGAGAAGAAAATAGGAAGAAAGAGCAGTTACATTATCGACACGACGTAGTTGTGGACATCCGATTGCTACTAGTTAGTTCGTACGGCGCTCGTTGGCGCTACGGGCAACCGCCCCGCTTGCCTTCTAATCCCCGCGCCTATCCGCGATTCAATGACGCGCTGTGTACACAGGCGACACTGTGTAACACAGTGTCTATTAGTGTGAGAAAGAGCATATTAGTGTGTCTCACTCACACTAGTGGACACAGAAAGCATCCTTTGTTTCACATCTAGTGAGTGATAAAGTATACCCGGTGAGGAATTGGAACATAGCTTTACGTTACTTTTTTATTTGACAAAACTATTCTAGATTTTATCAAATTTTTAAGAAAAGCCCTCCCTATAAAAGCTTAAACGGATACGTTCTGCCACTGGCTATGGGGATATCTGAATCTACAAATAGTGTGTCATAACTATAGAAATGTCTATGGTCGTAACTCGCAGCAATGAATTTCGGAACAGTTAGTATTTTTGATGAATTTTTAGAACGCAATTTTTAGAATCCACAATAATGGGAGCTTTCCAGCTACGTACACAGGCACTGTGTAACACAATGTCCTTTAGTGTGAGAAAAAGCATATCAGTGGGTCTCACTCACCTAGTGGACACTGTGTTGCACAGTGTCGCCTGTGTACGTAGCTGAAAAGCTCCCAATATTGTCGAGATATCGGTATTATAAAAAAAAGAAAAAAAAACCACTTGACTTTTAAGATTATTTTGGTGTCAGTGATCTTTATATTACACTCGAATGTTTAGCGAGAAGACTAGCTAGAGTGAGACAGACAAAAATGTTATTTTTTAATGTTTCTTTATCTAACAGTAAAAAATATAAGACCCGTTGACCAATCAAAATTCAATAGAAAAAAAATGTTATATAAACAACATAAAGTCTTTTTCTCAATTGCGAGACCGAGTCTCGGGAAAGACGTTCGTATGAAGTTCATAACTCGGTAATCAGTATATAAATGTCATAAAAGTCATGAAAGTTGGCATCATATTGAGTGACAGGTCAGTAATAATGTAGTAGTATGGGCATTGCATTTTGATTGCGAGATCAATAAAACAAAATGGCTGTTCCAGATGAGGAATAGAAAGAAAAAGAGAGAGACAAGGGAGTGAAAAAGTGGCCTAAGGAGGGGAGATCGGTCACGCACGAGGGTGGGCGGAGTGGGCGTTACGGTATAGCGTGGTGGTGGTGGTGGTGGCGGTGGCGGCGGTGGTGGCAGGCGGCGGCGGTGAGCATCATAAAGAGGATAGGATAATATCGGTGCGCGTCCTCCTGCGGAGGTGCCCTTTCGCGGGGCCCCGTAGTTATACCCTTTCGTAGCCGATTTGATTGCGGCCGAATTTGTACGATGTAGTTATGCCGAAGAAGGGTACGAGACATGTGAAGGAATCGGGGAATACGAGAAGTGCTCAGCAGCTGCACGAGGGCTGCGTTGTGCTACCCGGCCTGACAGCTGCGGCAGCGCCGACAGCGACAACGACAACCGCCGTCTCAAAAGTGGCGACAGCGAAGCACTTTCGTAGCATACACATCGGCGTAACGAACCGCAAGCGCTGGCTGTCACTGAAAAAACGACTGGGATTGACAACGGACGAGGATGTCGCGGTATATTTGCTGGACCTCGCGGAGTCCGAGGTCGCTGCCACCTCTTCCAGCAGGTACGTAAACGGCATCTTCGCCGTCATATCTCGTCGTGACACATTGTAATAATATCGCTGTGCTCGGCAACAACGCCAATAAACGTGTGCCATATCTATCGGCATCGCCTCCGTGCAACCCTCTTGCGCGAACACCTCACGAAGCACGCGACAAAGCTTAGCTGTCACGCATTCGGGTTTTCCCCTCTACTGTGTACCAGCGGCGAGTACGTTTTATTGAATCGCCATCTTGCGGAGGCCAATGTTCGGACAAAGACGTGAAGAGAGAGCTATGTAAAGCCGATCGATACTCACTACTCCTAGAAGGAGCGACTGCGTGTGTTGCACATCGCGGATCTTTTGAAAATTACAGATGACTGATCGACAATGCGAGTTCATTTTGATATTTTTGTATTTTATATTTGTGAAATATATTAGTTGTGTCCACATAGGTTTTCATTTCAATAAACTCGTATTATTTTTTTATGAATGAAATTTTTTGTTTAGAGAATGAAATTCTTAGGCCACATTTTAGCTCATCTATCTGTATTTTACTAATGTATCCCAATGAGGTTAATTTTATATATATAACATGTTTTTTAAATAAAACATTAAGATATTTTAAATTAAAAAAATTACACCTTTTTCTAATATATCTGAATTGTTTTTATACACAGACAAGAAAGTGAATGTAACAGAGCAAAGAATGATAATGCAAATCAAGTTAAGAATCTTGATGAAGAAGTTGTCAAGATTAAAGGCCCAACCAAGGAAGAGGAAGAAGAAAATGAAATGGGAGAGATCGCTTCTAGTAGTTCGAAGAAACAAGATTCCATACCTGGTACAGACAAAATATATTCTACTAATACAATAAATGAGACCATGCCGTCGGAAGTGCCAGACGATGTAATTAAATTGCATGTGCGACGTAGCTCAAAGTCAAAGCATCATAAAAATAAGACAAAGCACCACAAGGACAAGCGGAAGAAGCGGCGACATTCGAAGAACGATATTGATAATATCTCCAAACTAGACGGATCTGAATGTACCGGCGAAAACGTTTTGAACACACAAAATGGTTCAATAGAGAATAGAGATTTGAATAATTGCGAAACGATGGTAGTTTGTGGGTTAGATGATAAATCAAAATTAGGCGTAGAGAGCTTTGGACTTAATACAAAGGATGTTGAATCCATCACTACAAAGACTGAAGACATAGATAGCATAACATTTATAAACAATGTAAATAATAGGACGAATAGCGACAGATGCAACCTGAAAGTCATCGGTATACCTGGCGAATCGACGGAGGATATCTTAGAAGATAATAGAGTTACCAAACTACAATTTAACAACACAACAACGTTATCCTTTTCGAAACGCACGTGTAATACCGAGGATTTGAACAAAGACGTAGAATATTTATCAAATCCAGTATCTAATAACAACAGTACAGTAGCAGCACAAGCTGTAGACGCACCTGAAAAAGAGAACAAGTCAAGTTTAACACTTTGCGTGGAATCACATGAATATAATAATGTGGTGTCTCACAACGCGTTAAAAGATGAAGAAGTGAAGGACACGGCGGAGGATCGCAAACTGAAGAAAAGACGAAAACGTCCGCGTCATGACGCGCAAGTCGAGAATTCTGCAAAAGACATTTCTGAAAACAATACTACGGACGAGCTGACAGTTCTCAAGCACCGACGAAAGAAACATAAACACACAAATGATCACAAAACTAAGAAATATCACGACGTTCGAAAAGCGCCGCAGGACGGCATTGTTGTTCAAGAAGAGGCGCAAGATCCGTGCGCGGCGGAACCTGAATTATCGTCGTCATTAATAGGAGTCGAAAAAATTGCGAAAGGCGCTGATAGCGTTATATCGGAACCGCAAAGACTAGCGATCAAAATTAAACTCTGTCAGGAATGCAATAGTCGTCATCTGCAAGACGCGTGTCCCTTGATGACGCCGCAGTATGTGATAGCCGATTCGATTACCTATGAGGAATGGCTAAGTAAACACAAGGAGAACACGGACGTGATGAAAGCGATTAAGTCGGAGGATCCGATGTCGGACGGTTACGGTCGACCGGCGGACGATGGCTTTGAGTCAGACGACGAGTCGGTAATGTCCAATGAACAGTGTAAAGTCAAATCGAAAGCACAGAGAGAAGAGAAACAATTGTTGATGGACACGGATCGGCCGTTGTACGCGAGAGAGTCCCTCCCGGATTGCTTTGAGCTGAAAATATCACATACCGACCACGGTCTGGGCGTCTACGCCAAGAAACCGATCCCGACGTACGCCAAGCTGGGTCCACTCGTTGGCGTGCTTGTCAGAGAAATGGATATCCCGGACGATTTTTCGATGCGTCATATTTGGGAGGTATTATCAATTATTTTGTGCTTCCTTGCGCTCGTTGCAACGCATTGATGTTCATTGATGAAAGTAAGATTTTATAAGAAAAAAACGTTTACTTCTTTTTAGATAGATAATAATGGAAAGAGTGGCTATATTAGTACTACAGATCCATTGAAAAGTAATTGGATTCGATATATTAGACCGGCTAAGTTCAAGGAGAAGAGGAACGTTGCAGTAATCATCGAACAGGGCCATCTGTATCTAGTTACAACTCAAAATATCACTTCGGGAACGGAGCTCATTTATTGGGTAGATTCGCAATCTTCCGCATGGACGAGAAAGAATAAAATAGATAAAACAAGTATGTAGATTCTGCTCAACTAGCAATTGACACGTATTTGACACGATGTTTTTCTTTATTCCTTTTTTATCTTTCAGATTGTGGCGGATGCAACCTTAATTTCGCACATCCGATATATTATCGATTGCACTGCTGCATCTTTCACGACACTAATTATAGTTTAACCATAAGGAAATATCACTGCAAGGTATTTTATCTTATTATTAATTGTTATTTGGATTTAAATATATGATTCTAACTGTTCGATTTAAATCTTAGGTTTGCGGTGCCGCTGTACTCGGCAAAGATAATATCATGAAACACGCGGCGGAGATGCACGCAGGTCGCGGAGCATATCAGTGTCAATATTGTAAGAAGTTCTTCTTGAGGTTGAATTATCTGGAAATGCACAGAACTTACGGTTGCGCACAGAATCCTCAACGGTCGCGACCTTTGTGCGACTTCTGCGGTCGTAAGTTCTGTCAGCCGCAGAAACTCAAAGTACACATCAAAAGAATGCATAGTGGTAAGAGCGCGCGATCGATTTGCAATGCGTCGTATTTTTATCTCTCAATTGTCTGTTTTTTCTTCTCTTCGCTCTGTATTAATAAAAATACACACTCTTGCGCAGATATATCTGAAGTGCTCAAAGAATTCCAATGTAAAATGTGCTTAAAAGTCTTGGGCTCCCGTGCGGCTCTGCAGCGTCACATGAAAGAAGTTCATCATAAAGATGTCGTGGCCGCGGCGACATGCGATCGATGCGGAAAAATATTTCAGAACAAGAGCAACTTGAAAATACACATGCTGACTCACAGCGGCGTGAAACCGTTTAAGTAAGTTTGTCAAGTGTTTACTTCTGGTTCATTTGTTTTTTTTTCTCAGCTATGTTTATCATTTACACATACAGATAATTCTCTTTTTTTTAATTAGATGCAAAGAGAACGGCTGCAAGGCGGCTTTTACCACGAAGCAGTGTTTGCAATTTCATTATAAAAAGGTGCACGGTCTCACGCAAGAAATGATGCCCAAAATCGAAAGATCCGTGGCGTATACTTTCGACGCGTACAGCGGAGGTCTTGTAGAAGACGTGCCCTGTGCAAGAAGTATTTACAGCAGAAGAAACTCGCAAGTACGAGCTAGTATTATTGTAATAATCTCACAACAAACTCGACAAAGAAACATCTGTGACATATTTTATCATGTTTCTAACAGGACAACAGCAACGGTTTACCATCTCTCGATGAGTGCAATTCGGAGAGTAGCTCGAAGGCTGAAACGTCGGCGCCAACGAATTCCACTTACAGCGCCATTACAGATTCGTTACGAAATGAAACAACAAATGCTACAAAGTACAAAGCGGAACAACAAGAGGCTCAGGTTCCAACTTCGTCGCCGCAGACAACTACGTCTCTAGCCGCGGGACTTGATACGACAATAGAAAACATACGAACGGAAGTTGATCTGTACAGCACATCGAGAGTGCAAAGTAAGGGCAGCAAAAAGTGGCTAGGTGAATTCAATCCGTCGCCTACGTCCGATATCGCCAACGCCGCTGTCAGTCATTTACCGACGGTTTCGGTGCAATCTTCCGATGTTTATGACTTCGAAAGTGGTAGGAAGGACAGTGACAGCGAGAAAGCAATATCGCGCACTAGCACGACAGTGATACCGAGTTTAATAGATAGCAATAAGTTGGACCTGAACGTATATCGCAGAACGGAGAGCGCGAACGCGAGTATGTTGGTCGAGGCGGCGCTAGATGCTGCTGAAAGGGATATAGGTAGAGCAGTGTCCAGCCCGATTCTGGAGGACACCAATCGCGAGGCCAATCTTTATTCGATTTCGAACCACTTGCAATCGCCGCTACCGCATTCACGGTCACCGAATCATTTGGACTCGTACATTCAGCAGCAGGAAGAATTAATATCGCCCGCGCCGACGCCGGATGACCGACATACATCTCCCACTCATTTGCATGTGGACTGCCACTTACACCGACCGGTCGATTATATCAACACTTCACGAACGCATAGCGTCGAGCAGTACATACATCACGAAGAACTGCCGCGCGTTTCGCCGAATTACATACACATGCAACAGGAAGATCTGGTTTCACCGTCGGCCACTCCGAACTCCCGTTATCAGGAAGTGTATCATCATCATCAAGTGCCGACGGATAATTTGTCGAGCGACGAGGGCGACTCGGTAGCGCAGAATCTCAGTCTGTCGTCGGTGAAAGAAAAGGCGTTGCAACTGGACCTATCGACATCGTACAAATATGACTCGCTCGAGCAAGATTTTTCTCGGGAAAGATCGCACTTCGAGCCATTGGTACTCAATAGTGGCGAGCTTCAAGGTCTGGATATGTCAGCCAGAAGTTTTCATCATAGTTTTGGCGCTCAAATGCAAAACACGCGCTATCATCATCATCATCATCATCTCTACGACATCGGTGAGAGACAGAGTGTGGATCTGAGCAGAACAAGTAGCTATTCCATGTCGTCACCTCCGCCGCCGCCACCTCCACCTTATCCGCACAGCGACGTTCTGCGAGTGGTCAGCTTGGATCTGACGCCCGGCGGTAGGCACAGCGTCGATCTGAGTCTCTCCAGGACGCATCATTTGCACGGAACCGGCACTCGGGTGATTACTAGTCCACAACCGGCTGGCTCGGCTACAACGCACGTGGTACCTGATGCCGGCGAAGGTCGAATGTTGTCCCCGCCACCACCTCCTCTGTCAGGATACAATCCCGGTTATCCTGTGAGCCCGGCTCCGTATCATCCTCCGAGATCTGGATACCATCATTATCCCGGTTATTATTGATGATTGTTGTTGACATTTGTAAATACCGTGATGGTATGTAAATTTATATTTTCTCGGCAACTTTTTTGTTTTAATTATATGCTCACGTATCAGGGCTCCAAGGTTCGTTTGAATGTGACGTTGTTCGAATATTCGAATCGCGGATACTAGAGACAAATAAAAAGAAATCAAAACTCAAATATATCAAACCGACTGTAAAGAAAAAATTATTCAACGTACAAATCTGGGAAAATATTTAACGTCTAAATTATGAATTTTGACGCTAAGATTTTTTTTTTCTACTACAGATTATGTCTGAATATTTCGAATATGCGAGAATTCGAGTTTTTGAATCACTATTGATCTCGGATAACACTTGGAAGCCCCATCACACATTCTTATTCTGTTATTTTAAGCAAAGTTATTTTTCACATAATTACTAGTAGTTTTAAATATTTGTATATTGTTTCTCTTTTTTACGTTGTGATATATATATACTCAAATCGCAGATGGAAACTGCCATATTCGTACGTCGTTTTTCAAGTTTTGCAGCGCAAGATAATACGTTCTCTCGTAATAGATTTACTATTTAAGTCGGAGATACAACAGACAGACATGAGATCGGAGAAAATTGACGTTGAAAAGAAATTTTTTCGACTAAGAATCTTGGTAATAAAGTCGGTATCAAGAAATGATGCGGTAGCGTTTCGTGACAAGTATACATATTGTAAAGAACATTCTCTCGGGACAGAGACGCTGCTGTATCTCTCAGGAAGGGAGACGCCTTTTGTTTTTGTTTTTTTTTTTTTTGTTTAGAAATAATTGTGCATTATTCAATTGTACGCGAATGGTTTTAAATGACATTCAAAAAATACGGTAAAATACTTTATAAAAAGTATACATACGACTATCCATGACTTTCAGATAGAGAAGGTGTGTGCGTGAGAGAGCAAGAATATGAGAAGTAGAATGACAAAGAAGAGAGAGAGAGTGAGAAGAAGCAAGTGCGAGAGAGCAAATGTTTATTTTTCTTAAACAAAATATTGGATAAACAAAATTTTACAAAAAAATATTCCCGGATTATTTTGTAACTATCAACGACAAAGGTTGCTATCGTTAACGTGTTGTTGCAAAGGCACGTTAACGATATTTACATTTTTTGTACTAGTTGCAAAATAATCCTTCAGAGCGATATTTTGTATTGATATAGAAAAGAAAGTTAAGTTATTCAAAATTAATATATACTATGACTGTGTTCCGATATTCATTGTCAGTAATAAAAATCTATACTTCACGTCACAAGTGCTACAGATTTTCAGTACTGGCAGTTAATATCGGAACGCAGTCTATATATATGGCTGTTAGATTATTTATTGTCTACCTTCCTCCAAGTAAGTGGCGTATGATTGTGCAGAACAATATGACATGTCATGAATCATCGTCTATAAAAAAGTCGTTGAAATGAAAAAAAGAGAGAAAATGAGAAGCAAACATCGTGATCCAGTGCCACGTCCGTAAATTAAGATTACTTATTAGAACCAAAAATAACACCATTGTTACTTAGCACTTGACTTATAAGACATGTTCTTCTGTTTCGGATCTTTCTTTTATCAAAATACACTTCGTGTTTTACGTGGCTTTGATGACGATAGCACCAAGTTCTTAAAAAAATTTATTTTTTGTGTGATCAGCGAAAAATTTAGATAGATCACAGAATAGATCTAAAAAAATATTATTAGAAATTGTTCACGAAAAAAGAATTGATTTTATTTTATTCGTATTCGCAATCTATAAAAAAGAACAAATGTATTAAATGATATTGACAAGTACTGAGTTTTTAATCGGAAAATAGAGTTTGTGTGTGTGTGTGTGTGCGTGCGTGCGTGCGTGCGTGCATGCGTGCGTGTGAGAGATGTATTTTGTAAATATTGCGACTCCATGTCTCTGTGCTATTTGGGATGTTAATATTTGTGAGAAAATAATTTAATCAAATAATTTATTCAGATTATCAAAATGCCTAATGAAGTAGTGCTGTAAGTATTTGCATGGTGATAATAGATTATAATGTTTATTTTAAATTCTAGTCATTATATGTATATTGTACATTGTAAACGAAGATACGGCGGTATTAGAGTGAATTATTATATATTTCGGCGATTGTGAATGATTCACTCAAGTAATGTATATTTGCGACGAATGCAAATTCAATGATGACTTTTATCCGAAACCTTTATATTTTCTAGATGACTTAATCTAGTAACGATAAAAAAACAAAAAAAGAAACAAAAAAGTGATATCAGTATAATTCCATTATCGAAGCAAAACACACACACGGCGTTAAAATTTTTATACATGTAATATGTATTGCATTGATTTACATATATATTTATATTTGAAAATATACACCGATATTTGTCGGGGTTTCTTTTTTTTTCATATACATATATCTATATATACATATAATATCTATATATATTGTTTTATATCGACGTACGTTTTATTACAAAACATATATAAATGCATTTACATGAAGCATTCACGTTGATTTTTGCATCGCTTCCAAGTTTTTTAGATTTACGTATAGTAGCCATTTATCCAAACCAAAGATCTAAAACTGTAACTCTTGTGCCAAATCATTAAAGGCGCTCATTGTTTATATACATATGCCACTTTGTGTATGCGCTTACAATTTCTTCAGTCGAATGTCGTGATTAAAGAAGAAATCGTATTACGCGAGACCTTCTGCAACCTTGTATCATAATTACGTTTTCACCTATTATTTAATCAGGCTTCGTTTGCGTAGATACGACATATACAAAGTACGCATACAAATTTTCATTTACAATTATTTTAAAACTCTTGCATAATCCATTACTCTCCGTAAGATTTTTATGACGTTTCCGCTGTATTATGTAAGAAACAAGTTACCATTTTATTCTCGTTTTATAATCGCAATGATATATAAACATAGATTTTACATTGTGCGTAATGTAAGGACGACAAAAGAGAGATGAAAAAAAAAAAAAAACATCTATTAAGATATAAATAAATATATACACGGAGAAAAAGAAAAATTCAAAAGAAATGTTTACGAGTACAAAACACGGCACACACAGAATATATTTGTATCAGGTTTATTAATATTAATATTGTAAGTAATATTAATAGAAATATGACAGTAAGTGAACAAATCGATTTAAATGTATTCTCCCTTGTCTTAAATTATCCTTTTTACAGAGTTTCCTTAAGAAATAAAAAGTTCATTAAGTATAATAATTTCTCGCCTGAATCATTGATTGACGGAAACAATTCCTTGTGCTTTGTTTGTATATCATTTCTTTTGTTTTATATGAATATTGACCAGTATTATATTCAGTTGGGAGAAAAGACTACTTTAGAAGTAGAAAATTTTCCTACAAGAAAATATAATATAATTGCATTACAAAATTTATTATAATAAATATTAAACTTTTATATTTTAAATATAAAATTTGGGTTGCGGAAATAAAAGAAACCATTTTTTTCCAAAATTGTGTGTGCGTTTAACAATGATAGTTTATTAAAATTGATATATTTACAATGTAAGAAAACTCGGCATTACATATCAAAAAATTGACATTTTTTACATCGGCATTTTTTTTCATCAATTGATCTACTTTATAGTAGTATAATTAACAATTTGAGGTCAGGATCGATATCTGGCTTTCAACGAGAGACACGCAATAGCTTATCGTTTTCCGGCAATGATCGGAGCGGAGAATGGTGTCGCCAGAGCGGAATAAGCCAGTGGTGCCGCCGGTGCCGCTGCATAAGCTGCAGGTGCAACTGCGATTGCCGCTGGCGCGGCTGCCACATACGGGGCGGCTATGGCGTGATTGATGGCGTGCGCGTTGTAACTTGTGGCGTAAGTTCCAACTGTCAGAGCCGCAGGCAATGCTGCCGGAATCGCTGGGACCACCCCGGCGGAACAGATGGCCGCGAAGGCGCCGATCAAAACCTTTTGTAACAAGTATTTTACAATTGTTGAACGTGATTTGGTGCACAAATTTTTAAAACAATCTTTAATTATGAAGAAACATTTTGTCTATAGAAATTACTAATTAACAATTAATGCTTAATTATTAATTATTAATTATTATTTTTCTCTCCAGATATAAATATATTTTGTACAAAAAGTGTATTATTAGCAATCAATATTATTATATCAATATATTTATATATTAATTATATCATAGTAAATTAAATATATTACAAATTTCATATAATTTTTCAATAACTGTGTTTGTAAAAATGCGCAGAGATATTAAATGTGTTTTCGGAAGAACTCACCAGGATTTTGGTCATCATTTTGCTTTCGTGGAGTTTAGATGTTACCTACGCGTTGATCTCTCGCTGCGAAATCTCTGCGATGCGTTTTATTTCGAAGTCTTTTATATATATCGCGCCTTCCCTTACAAGTATAGAGACTCTTCCCCACCCATCGTGAACACGACAAGGTGTTGTACAATCGGCGGGAACATATCCGGAATAACTTAACCGGCAATCTTTGTTTGCTCGATTGTGCCGAATTTTTGTCCGCACTCCAGTCTTCGCGCCACCCGGCGCAAAACGCGGCTGGATTAACACCACTTTCTCTCTTTCTTTCAATGTCCCTTTACATCGAAATCGCAAATGAATCGAAATTTTCTCTCGAATTTGGTTGTTAATGTAGTAATTTTAAAAAACAACATCGTAAGATCTTATTTAGAATCGCAATTTATATGAGTCTTGCGATTTTGTTTGGAATTGCGGCATTAATCACTTGATGCAATCGCGTTACCATCATTGCGCTTGTCTTCAGTGTTCAAACCACCTACGTCGTCGTCCTCGTGGCGATTATTTGCGCGAGGTGTCCGTTCGCGAGCACAAATAAAAAAATTACTTGATCCCGGAACTATTCTCCTTTAAATCTCCTCACAAAGAAAAACGCGTCGAAGGTAATGGGCAAGCATATTTTTTTCATATATCTACATTATAATAAATTTACATTATGTTTTTGGAGAGATATGTGTTTGCTCATTACCTTCGGCACGCGTTTCTTTACGTGGAGATATGGAAGGGCCGGTAATATCCACGCTCGGGATCAGTGTTCTAGTCGTGCTTTCGAACAGAAACACTTTATGCAAATAACCGCCACGACAGTGACGACGACGACACGGCAAAAACAAGTCCTGGCGACGACGATCAGAAGCAGGATATATTTTTCAAGGTGTACCTTTCAAGGTTGTAAAATTGCGATATATACAGTGAAACGAGATTTGCGTTTGCCCCACCGCTCGCTAAGGTAATCAAGTTGAAGGCTCCGGGTATACGCACGTATCTTTTTTTTTTAATATTTTTTTTTGTTTTTATCTCAACGGTGTATCTATTGCCGCAAGAAGAAGGAACTCGATCCTGTCATGACGTTCGTGACGTTCGCTTTCATTTTGGTCACTTCAATTGGCCATATAATTCGACGCACTTTCTTAAAGTACGTGATCCACTTGCCGAAGAAGCTACATTGCGCAAAATCGTCATGCAAGAGTACCTACAAGGACACTACGACCCAGAATGTCACGCTAAAATTACGATTAGGACTTGCGACAATGCGATTCTACAATTGCGTGTGTGAATCTTTCGTAAAATATGAAATATTCATAATATCATTTCTCGTAAAATGACGTGCAATACGACCTGTGACCGTACACTTGTTTAATGTATTCTTGCAGAGTTGTTGAACACAAATCACACTTTATTTTAACAAAATGTAACGTTGATCAGACAAACAACAAAGGAACAAATCTAATTTCTCAATATTCGACAGCGACCTTGATTGAACAATTCAAGAAATGGTTCACGAGAAAACAGGGTATCCCACGCGCCGTGCGTTCGAGATAACCGCCCAAATGGAATTATGTAAACGAACTTGATAACCGGGGGTTACGTAATCTCTCTCTCTCTCTGTCTAGAGATACGTAGTTGAATACAATGTATGTTGCGCCACGGGGAAAATGATCACGTGGAACGCGTCTGGCGTCATACGGCCGATGGTTAACAATTAGCGCGCGAGTAACTCTATTCATGCATTAGACCGAATTAGCAATCTTAGCGCATAGTCCTTTCTCCCCTCTCTTCCTATCTATGAATCCTTGGATTCGTGAACATTTCGTTTTGTTTCATCTGTGGATTCGTGAATCTTCAAAGTGGATCGTGTGAATCTTTTTGTTTTAAGATATAACACTGAACACGTAAATTGGCGATTCTCCGGATTGTTTCGCAAAATAACACAAAACATATAGATTGAAAAAAATATATAATATATTATAATAAAAAATATTTAATATATAAAAATATATTAATTATATGAGACTGTAATTATATTTAAAAAAAATATAATATATAATTTTATTAAAATGTAATTATATATATTTTTATATATAAAAATATAGTTATGTGACAGTTTTGTGTTTCCGCATTCGATAAGTTATCAGTTGGAAAATTTCAATCGCAAGGCGGAAGAAATTACGCGAACCTTGAGATGTGACAAAGGTGTAACATTCTTTTTCAAACATCGTTCGGTTGAATATCACAAGCGAAGGTAACACGTCGCGACTAGTTTCAAATCCAGTCACCGAATTGTTGCAAATCGACGACAGCAAAGTTGACTTCGAAAAGAAAGCCACTTAACAATGCTCGTCGTGGCCGCCTCGAGAGAGTCGTGCCAAGAAAGAGAGAAAGAAGCGGCAATTCATGTATCGACACGATGCGGCTCGCGAAACCAGGAGGTTGAAGCATCGACGACGACCTTGATGAAGCGTCCAGTAGGGGGTCGGACAAAGCGGTATAAAAGCTTTTGCTTTTCGGTATGAAGATCAGATTCCTCAAACTCTTCCTTTGCTTCGAGTAGCATTCTCAACGTTAAACTTCGCAACATGTTCAAGCTGGTGAGTGCGTAAGAACGACGTAGAAAATCGTCTTCTACTCTCTTGTAGTAACGCAATAATTTTTATCTTTGTTACAATATTAGAATAAGTATTGCATGTATGCGTACTGCCATTGCGTTATTTCTATCTTAAAAAACATTTTTTCTGATCAATTTAAATATAGACGCGCAAGATTGATTGAAATAAATTCTAATAAACATCACAAAAATAATCTGCATGTGTTCTTCATCAAATCGTCGCGTTGCAAAATCTTTGCTAAATTAATGTTCAAATAATATTCGATTTATTTCTTCTTCTAGTGCATCCTCGCTGTTGTCTTGGGCGCCGTTTGCGCTGCGCCTGCACCCAAGCCGGGAGCCATATTAGCGGCACCCGCCGCAGCGTATGCTGCGGTACCGGCGCCGATCGTAACGGCCAGTAGCAGTCAAGTGATAGCGAGAAATTACAACACGCTCGCTGCGGCTCCGTTGGCGGCTGCTCCTCTCGCTGCGGCTCCGTTCGCAGCAGCCCCCATCGCTTACTCAGCTCCTCTGCTGGGTTACGGCACTCACGCCGTAGCACCTGCCGCATATTCCGCCTATGCCGCACCGATCCTGCTGTGAGTCGTCGGCATTTTTACCCGAACCGGACACCGTATCTAACAACCGTGGAGGGAAGGAATTTCCATAGACAAATTGATGCCGATTTGATAAAATGCGTTTCTTACGATTGAACTCTAGCAATGACATCTTATTGGGAATTGTTAAGTTTGTGCAATATTTAGCTCCAATAAAATTCGACTTTTCTATCTGAATTCTACGTCGCTCTTTCTTTAATACCCTGCCTCCTTCTATAGATTACGATGTATTTGTACGATTATTATTTAAGATTTACATTGTCATATGACAGATAAGTTTTTTTCTCATATACTCGATTAAACACAAGTCTATATAAGAGAATAATAATAATTGATTTAGAATTAATCTCATATAAAATATGCCAAGGAATATATTGCTACATTTTGTTCGCAATATAATAAACAATAATGTTTATGTGTTTTATTACGTTAATTCGTATTTTTCTTTAAACAACCTTTACCGAAGATAATTGAACATATAGTTGCTTACATTATATTTCTCTTGCTTTGAAAAATTAAAGTAAAGAAAAATAAACACATCTGATATAAATTTAATTTGCCGAAGAAATTCGCCTCAGGCATTAACGTCACAGCTAAATCAAGGAACAAAAACGAACGCACAAGGTGAGAGCAAATCTCCTCCATTTGAGATTATCCGACCTTGCGCGGCATCCGCTTGTATAATTTTCCCAATATATATACAGTTGGAAGTCCTTTTCTCTCTCTCTTCTTTGTTTTAGCGCCGCCGATTTTGTCTTACTTTTTCGTTTTGGTCTCTTTCAATCAACCGGATTTCAACCGAAAGAATCTCAAGGTTAAGCCTGTCTCCTATTTTTTTTCAAGATCAAGTTCGTCGGGTTTGTGTCCGTGCGCAGTATATTCTCCTTGACGAGGGCACCACACTCGTCCATTTGAGATCGGTTCGAATCGTTACACCGCGAAGATACTGTTACTCGTGTTGTTGAACACCGAGTCAATAAGCGTGACTAAAGTTTACTGTATCTCAAATAACAAATACCCTAAATACCCATGTTTTTGTTATCTTCTTTCTCTCTTTAATTGAGTCTGTTTATGAATTTTAAGATATAATCGATGATTGTGCGTGTCTCTTGCACACGACATTAATAAGACACGACAGCGTATCGCATCGGTGACGACCGAACGCTGCTCTGTATCGAACATTATAACGTCGCCTTGTCACTTTCATAATATTTTATCTCTCATCTCTCCCCTGTTCGCGTACGCAATGTTGTTACCTGCCTTGCTACCGCACGCGACTTTTTTGCGCATAAACTTGGCCCGAGACAAGATCCTAATGTTACTTTGCGAAGCGCAATTGAGCTTTTTCGTCTCATTTTGGCAATTCGCAAATACATTCTAGTATGTACATATATATAGAAAAAAATTATTTAAATGAATATTGTTTAAAGAAACAAAAGACAGAAACGAAAAAGTTTCTCTCAGGAGTGAAATGTCGATCTTTTCTTTTCATACGACTCGATATTAGTTAAAATATCTTTTAACATCCACCTTTGACTTTTGTCAGTAAATGAAACACGTGAACGAGGGTGGGCACAGTGGTTTGTATGTTATATTGGCTTTTATTTCTGCTTTAGAAAACTCGACGCTCACAAAATTGAATATTTGCCTTTTATATGTTCTTTGCGATACAATTCAAATACTTTTTTTTTAATGAATACTTAAAAATCACGTGAGTACCAGCTTCGTAAAAAAGTAACTTCTTTTATTGCGCCATTCAAAGTTTAAGGGTAAAAGTCGCTTCGAATAGCTCCGATCATCTCGATGCAACTGCGATTCAATAAAATTGAAGTTCACAGGTGAATGAACGTTTTTCTCGGCAAAGAACGACATTCGTTGAAACTTTAGAGTTTTTCAAATGTTTCTTCGTAATAATCGAATCTACGTGCACACATATGCGTAGATATAATAGAGCGTAGATCAAAGTAGTTCATTTATGAACTTTTAATTATGTCACAAAATAACGTCAAAGATGTTCTTTAAGGTGTTCAATGGTCATCTACAAATAATACCATAAATAATCAAGTGTGTGTATAAACTCGATTTTTTACGCGTTTTTGTTTTGCGACACATTATATGTATCAAGAGAGAGAATAACTTATGGTAAAGCTTTTGCTTGCGCATATTTCCGTTGTTGGTACATTCGAAGCAGAAAAGAAGAGTAGTCCGACCACGCCTGGTTACCGCAAGTGACCTTGAGGGATCATCATGGCCTTCTCTATCCCATTTGATGCGCGGTCGACAAACAAAACTGCACCGGTTGGTGGCCGTACGAAGAAGAGGGAGACGGAAAAAAGAAGAAATCATACGAACAGCGTTCGTTTTCCGCGCGAGACAAGGCAACGCCCTCGTTGAAGGTGCGCTAAGAAGGTGCAAAAAGGGAAGCGGAGGGAAGGGGAGAAGAAAATAAGGAGATCCGATATCCGGCAGGAGACCGGGTGGCAGTCTCCTATATAAGACGCGACTACATCGTGTTTTGGTGTATTATCGTACTGACTTCAAGCCAGACAACCACGAGATTCAAGATGTTCAAGCTGGTAAGTTAATTAAGATACTGAAATACAGACGAAGTTATGTCCGTCTTTCTCAGATCAACTGATATTCCGATTTTTTGCATTATTTGCAAAGATATTGCATATTTATGCGCTCGTAAAAGTAAAACGGGCGCACAAATACTTTGAGCTAATCTACTGTTTGTTTTGTCTTTTTATAAAAATTTTTTGTCGTGGGGAATAAATAAAATTTCGAATTGTTTTCGAGTTGTTGAGATTAGAGTTTTTTTTAGAAATAAAAGAACGTATATCGCAAAATGATGTTGTATGCCGTGACAAAGATATAATTTGTATTTTTTTCTAATTGTAAATAGAGTCACAAAAAGAAACATTAATTACAATGCAACTCTGTGGAGATTTAAAAATCTGAAAACTTAAAATGTGTGTGTGTGTGTGTGTGTATGTGTATATTAAAACTTGAAACATACATGATGAAGTAACTTGAATAAAAATAACTCTTCGAAGTGAGATACAAAAAGATTTCATTATCTACTAAATCAAATTAATTATTTATCATCATATTTCATAGTTTATTTCATCTTCTACTAAATAAAATTATTTTCAATTATTTAGTATATTTTATATAATTTATTTATTATATTTTATGTTTTATAAAAACAATTCATATTCACATGTGCATAGTCGTATATAGTACTTAGTGCAAAAAATGTAGACAATATCTGTTATATTAAAGATTAAAATGTGTAACTTTTCGTTGCAGATCTGCCTGTTCGCTGTTCTTGCGTTCGCCGCGGCCGCACCCGCGCCCGAACCGAAACCCGGCGCGATTATCGGCGCCCCCCTTGTCACATCCTACAGCGCGCCACCGATATTTACCGCACCGTTGGCTTATAGCGCGTACAATCTTCCGTCTTACAGCGCGTACTCCGCACCCGCTATCTCCGCTCTACCGTACGCTTACAAGAGCTATGCGACCTATGTGGTTTAAATCGGCGAGAAAAGAAGGACCAGGCCAATCGGGGATCAAGGACTGATTTCTATACGGATAATGTATACTCCTCAAATTGATAAGACAATCGACTGCACGCCCTTAGCGAAATCTCTCCCGACCATCGATCACAGGAAAACATTCCCGTCTCCCACAGTGTGTGTGCTGTTTAATTCTCTTCCAACCCTGTCTTTTCATGTACTCAAACAATCTCATCACATCCATACAACTCGAAATCAATAAAATCGCTTAAAAGCAATCTTTGTGTGTACGTATTTTTTCTTGTCCAATCATACCTTACAATCTACTTACGATTTAGTAAACGAGCTATTTACTTTTTGTGCTCGCTAACATAAATGTTCCGAACATTTATTAAAGAAATAATTATTAGATATGTGAATGGTTATAAACGTAAGAATTCTCAATTTGAGTAGCAATTTTAGACATGTTTTTAAGTATTAGTTTGGTAAATATTCAGAAAAATGGAGCACCTTCGGAGATCAATGATCTTGACATATGTTGTCAAGGACACCTCCCTGAACAATCTGCAACTTTTAGCCGTCGCTTGTTGTTAAAAAATTATAAACAAAGGAAATATCATAAATGAACTCTTATTTTCCGACACTGTGTACGTTTTGTTTGTGTTGTAAGCGTGTAGGCAGGGGAGGCTGCGCCCCCCCGCAGGGGGAGGGGCTTTGCCTCTCCCCTCTGCTCGCTCCTCGAGAAAAAATGAAGAATTCAATCAAGTGTCGCTTTATATCTCATAATTGTTTACTCAATCAATATGCACGGTTACACTCACCATACAGTAAATCACAAAGAAAATTTCGTAGATTCTCATACTAATTGTCACACGCAAAACATCGAAAGAATTTGGCGAGATATGCGAAGTAATAATCCACTTTATGTCAAGTAAACAATTATGATATGAAGCGACACTTGATTGAATTCTTCATTTTTTCGTGAAGGGGGAGCAGGGAGGAGGGGCAAAGCCCCTCTCCCTGCGGGGGCGCAGCCCCCTTTTGCTTACACGCTTACAACACAAACAAAATGTACACGGTTTTGGAATATAACAGTTTATTGACGCAACTTCTTTTGTTTATAATTTTTTAACGAACAACGAGCAACGGCTAAAAGTTGCAGATTGTTGTTCAGGGAGGTGTCCTTGACAACATATGTCAAGGTCATTGACCTCCGAGGGTGCTCCGTTTTTCTGAATATTTATTTATTAGTTTTTAACTATAATACTTAAATTCTAACTTTACGCGTATAAATACCTTGTTATAATTATTTCTTTAATAAATGTTCGAGCACATCAGAACCGGAGTTATTATTTCAAACTCGGTCAGTATCTGTGTTGTACATTTATTTCGAAAAAAACATCTGAATTTATATTTAACCAGTTATGTGTGTTTATATATATCTACTATACTTTAATATAAATTCATATAATCCAGAGTGTGTTGTACGCCTTGACAATGAGTGTTACGCCATACAAGACAGAGACAAGAGGATGTGGTAATTCGCACGCAACCACTCTCTCTCTCTCTCTCTGTTACGTGTTTTTGCGTTTTATATTCGGTGCTTTACTTTCATTTATTGGGACTTGACTTTTGAGTATGTCAACTAAAGTCAGTAGCAGCTCCGTGTGGACAAATGATGAAAAGTACTTATTCAGCGTGAACTCACAGTGGAAAGAGAGTTAGTCGAAAAATCGATTCGAGTAACTGTTACACACGAGCGACGCAAATCTAATAAAAGAAACGGCTTCGCCCCTCCTCTCTGCTCCTTCCTTGGGAAAAAATAGAAAACGACTTCTGATTAAGTGTCGCTACAAATCACGTATATGTTATCATGAAGCGACATTTACTCGAAAGTCGTTTCCTATTTTTCCCACCTGCGGGGGGGCGCAGCCCCCCCCTGCCTACATGTTTACAACACACAAAAAATGTACACGGTGCCGAAAAACGATAGTTTAGTCATCAAACTTTTTTTGTTCATAACTTTTTTATAAACAATGAGCGACGGATAAAAGTTTTAGAAACGAACTCAGGAAGGTTATATTTACAATGTATCAAAACGAGAAGCCGATCGGAGGGGTCTCCTCTATTGTAAACATTTACCTCACAATTTATTAATTACATTACGTGTAATTGTACGTTAATACGTCAAACGCACAAAATCTATATCGAGAATCTAATCATATCAAAGTGATGTAAACATATATCGTTTGTTTCTTTTATTAGATTTGCGTCGCTCGTGTGTAACAGTTACTCGAATCGATTTTTCGACTAACTCTCTTTCCACTGTGAGTTCACGCTGAATAAGTACTTTTCATCATTTGTCCACACGGAGCTGCTACTGACTTTAGTTGACATACTCAAAAGTCAAGTCCCAATAAATGAAAGTAAAGCACCGAATATAAAACGCAAAAACACGTAACAGAGAGAGAGAGAGAGAGTGGTTGCGTGCGAATTACCACATCCTCTTGTCTCTGTCTTGTATGGCGTAACACTCATTGTCAAGGCGTACAACACACTCTGGATTATATGAATTTATATTAAAGTATAGTAGATATATATAAACACACATAACTGGTTAAATATAAATTCAGATGTTTTTTTCGAAATAAATGTACAACACAGATACTGACCGAGTTTGAAATAATAACTCCGGTTCTGATGTGCTCGAACATTTATTAAAGAAATAATTATAACAAGGTATTTATACGCGTAAAGTTAGAATTTAAGTATTATAGTTAAAAACTAATAAATAAATATTCAGAAAAACGGAGCACCCTCGGAGGTCAATGACCTTGACATATGTTGTCAAGAACACCTCCCTGAACAACAATCTGCAACTTTTAGCCGTTGCTCGTTGTTCGTTAAAAAATTATAAACAAAAGAAGTTGCGTCAATAAACTGTTATATTCCAAAACCGTGTACATTTTGTTTGTGTTGTAAGCGTGTAGGCAGGGAAGGCTGCGCGAAGCCCCTTCACCTGCAGGGGGGCGCAGCCCCCCCCTGCCTACACGCTTTACAACGAAGAAATAAAAACAAATCGTATAGCGATTTAACCCATAAATATATTTGTGTAAAATACACATATTTTTACATAAATACATTTCACATTTAATGTAGTAGATACATTGCACTCATTATGTCGAAAAAGACATCAATTCTAGTATCAAAATTACACATTGAGCGAAAAGGCGATTACGAACAAAGAAATCAAAACAAAACAGAAACTTTCGGCGTATGCTACATATACACACATTGTTGGCAACATAAACATTACTCATTTCCTTCTGAAATGTACACGGTGTCGAAAAACGATAGTTTATTGATGAAACTTTTTTTGTTCATAACTTTTTTATAAACAATGAGCGACGGATAAAACTTTTGGAAACGTACTCAGGAAGGTCATATTTACAATGTATCAAAACGAGAAGCCGATCGGAGGGGTCTCCCTTATTGTAAACATTTACCAATTGTGATTCTGACGTCTGAGAAGAATCTGTTCTCTTTTCAAATTTCGTAGATCTTGTCGCGGTCGAATACTGTTAAGCTTTGTGAAGAGACTACAGACGAACCTATTTGCGCATTTAAGTGCATTGTGCAATAACGGCGTTATGTAACCAGCGTTTTTGCCATTGCACTCTGTGTATGTCTCTCTGTTACGCAATACGCTGACAAATAATATTGGGCTTTGTTACGTGAATGCGAGCATCACTTGCGCGAGGTTGCGGGAGAAATGTATATGCGAGAGATGGACACTAACATACGCAATCGGATTACAACGCGCGCGCAATTGTTAATCTCTCTCTCTTTCTCTTTCTCTCTCTCTCTCTCTCTCTCTCTCTCTCTCTCTCTCTCTCTCTGCGTTTATTTCCTGTTTCGCATAATCAAAGAAAATTGAGATTATATAGGTGTGCTGTAATATCCTTTATTTTTTTTTATTTGATCTGTCGAATGATTGATAAATATATTGTTCATACGTTCCAAATTAGGAAGTTATTTTAAGATAATAGACAGAATGCTTGTTTCTTAGTTGCGGAAGTACGTGGTAAAAATATATTTAATCAATGTCTTATATAAATCGATCGTTTTTTTATGAATTCAGTTTTTGCGGCACTTGATCGTTAACAATACTTTGATGCAAAAGATGGAGAGTTTATCTGAAAGAAAAAATTGAAAGAGAAAGAGAAAAAAAGGAAGAGAGAGAGAGAGAGAGAGAGAGAGAGAGAGAGAGAGAGAACAGAGAATTAAAATCTGTAAAGTGCAGTCACGTTGTGTTTGCATGTTTTTTGTATAAATTGCAACTTCCTTGTACAGCTTTTACGTATAGCTTTATAAAGCGTGCGATTTTATTGTATAACAGCAGTAAATTTAAAAATTTATTCCTATAAAGTATCTCAATGACCGGACATTTATTAAGTAAATAAAAGAATTTAGTCTTATTTGCAATACTTCCGTATTTGAGATTAAGGTATGGTTCCCAATAACCGAACAAGTCTTACCGGCCGGACATTTATTAGAGTAGTAATAATTATAACCAAGTATTTATAATATGTAAAGTAAGAAACTCTCTCTCTCTCTCTCTAATATTTAAAAACATATCTTAGAAATATTTAAAACAATATACTTAATATTTACATATTTAATAAATTATTTAGTTACATATCTATATATAGAGAGAGAGAGAGTTTCTTACTTTACATATTATAAATACTTGGTTATAATTATTACTACTCTAATAAATGTCCGGCCGATAAGACTTGTTCGGTTATTGAGAACCATATCTTAATCTCAAATACGGAAGTATTGAAAATAAGACTAAATTCTTTTCTGTTCCTACTTTGTGTTCTTATATTGCACGTGATTTTATCTATAACTTTTTAAAACTTTTATCGCTTATTGTTAACGAAACGAATAGACACCTAACGCGACAGAAATAACCAGGTCATTATTTCATGTTATCGACTGTGTAGTAAATGCGACGGTGTAAGAATAGGAAATATCAGTTTGTAATCGCGTTATGTATGTGCTTATACACACGTTTCTGTCCACGTGAATTACATTTCTTCAGCATCGGAACGTTAATCAATTACCGGCAATTTAGACCTAACGAATTGACGAACATCAGCTATTATTATATTATCCCTCGTGTGTATTACGATTATATAAATTATTGTCCCTTATTCAGGTAACATTAAAATCACTCCGATCGTCCTGATTCTCTCCACGTGTTTAATTATAGATCGAACTATAATTATATACATAATCACAGTTCGATGAAAATAGTAACTTTGTCATTGAGATTTCAGCTAATTAAGCTCACATAACTGTATTCTTGGATATCGATGTATTCTTGCACGGAGAAAACACTATGGATATCACTTCAGGAAATATAGTTGCCCCAACAAAATAGTAATGTTATTTTTCGCCCATGCGTACACTATGGGTGTGTTTAGCCGAAGCTAGCGCTACGTAGCGCTACGTAGCGGCTTCATGTAGCAGTTGCAATTGCTGCGTTACTTCTGCTGGACAGTATTGCTACGCGTAGCGCTTTTTGTAAGCGCAAATATGTTTGTATACAAATCGCCGTTGTATTCTTCGGTTGCTAAACTGTGTTTTTTAATTATTTATAAAAATGGCAAAAAA